TTTGAATAAACGTTCAACTAAACAAACAAAACACTGCAAGCAACATTAGTCTGTTAACACTCTCAAGCCCCCCAGTGGCACAGCGGTATGTCTACGGACTTACAACGCTAGAAACCGGGTTTCGATACCCGTGGTGGGCAGAGCACAGATAGCCCTTGTGTAGCTTTGTGCATAATTAAAAACAAAACAACAAAAAAAAACAAAACACTCTCAAACTTAAACGAGACTATTTCGGGGAAAAGTGACTGATGCATGAAAGAAATAGCGATATCCGTCTGCAGAGTGGAAAGCGTAATCTACCAGAACATACATAATCTACTAGACCACGAAGAACAGTCACATGTCAACTGTGTGTAAAAATAAACACAATCAGTAGAAACGTGAGGAACAGTCACATATCGACGGTGTGTAAAAATATACACAATCTGTAGAATCGTGAGGAACAGTCACATAGCAACGGTGTGTAAAAATATACACACTCCGTATAAACGTGAGGAACAGTCACATATCAACGGTTTGTAAAAATAAACACAATCTGTAGAATCGTGAGGAACAGTCACACATCAACGGTGTGTAAAACTACACACAATCAGTAGAAACGTGAGGAACAGTCACATATCGACGGTGTGTAAAAATATACACAATCTGTAGAATCGTGAGGAACAGTCACATAGCAACGGTGTGTAAAAATACACACAATCTGTAGCATCGTGAGGAACAGTCACATATCAACGGTGTGTAAAAATACACACAATCTGTAGAATCGTGAGGAACAGTCATATAATGGTATGTAAAAGTACAAGTACACACAATATGCAGAATCACGTGGAACAGGCACATAGCTGCATGTAAAAGTACACACAATATGCAGAAACACGTGAAACAGGCACGCAGCTGTATGTAAAAATTCACACAATTTGCAGAAACGTAAGGAACAATCACAAAGTCTAACAGAAAAAGTATCCACAGCGCTTAGGAACGTAAAGTCCAATATTATAACCGTACACAGAAATATAGTTAGTAATATAAAAGTCAGGAAAAAAACATAACCATGAGTAGAAAAATGCGTGTGTATTATATGGTACATAACATTCATATAGTCGTATACAGAAAATTCATATAAGGATTTTCAAACATATGTACGAGAATGTGAGAAAAAGCCACTTAACTGTATGTGAAACATACATAATCAATAGAAACGTAAAGAGCAATTATATCGCCACAAATAAAAATGTATAGGAACAGAGAGAACCTTAGAAATATAAATACATGGGAACACGTTAACTGTGTAAAAAATATACCTAATTCATGGTCACACATCGTGAATACAGGCACGAGGGAAGCTATTAATACAAACAAGTAAACAAGTATATATATGTGCACACTTGTCTTACGATCCCTATTTGCAGGTTATTAAATTCCCAATTTATTTATTTATTTTGTTTGTTGGCTTTTTTATGCTCAACTATGGGAAAAGGATTACTTGATATGGGAGCTAACTTTCTACATTGTAATGATAATAAACATGCATACTTTTTGGTGCATTTTTTATGTGTGTACAGCCTTAGCAGTCAATAGTAAACGTTTTAAAGTGTAGTTTGAACTGAATCTTTACTGTTTAAGGTGCTTTTTAGCCGAACATTCCCTTAGTGTTTTGTGAAATTCCTTGCGATACTATTATGAACCACGATTGTGGTTCATGATAAATTCCAAGTTTGAAGCACAGAAGCAACCACGTGTGTCTTATCCCATAGTTAAAGTTAGAACTAAAATTTCAATTTCGAATTTTTCTTCAACACAAAACTTTTTGGTGTGTGCCAAAAAGCGAGACTGTCCTTTTTTTTTTTGCTATTATTACTCACCATATGTAACTACGTTAAACCGGTTTCAGTAACCCTGGCCATGGTTAAATTGAAGAGCGCGAGCAGGCTTCTAATCGCAATGAACTACAGCGTGCATTTTGTTTTTAGTCCTTTTATGTAGAGCAAACTAACCCACGTTACCACAAATGTTGGTATAATATGCAAGGGTTGTGTTACCAATTTACTCGTCAGAATACACCCCCATTTGAAAGTTCCGAAGTTGATATTAAATAAAAACAGTACAAATACCTTGTTTGATTTATTGATCTCAGACGTTTAAGACATATTAATAGCAAAATTAATGTTTGTAATCGTTTGGTCCACCAGTGGCTCAAGTGGTAAGTCTAATGAGGGCTTATAACACTAAAAATCGGGTTTCTATACTCGCGGTGGGCAGAGCACATCACAGATAGCTCATTCTGTAGCTTTGGAATTTTTGTTTGTAGCTAAGCACAAAGCTACACAATGGGATGTCTGTGTTCTGTCCACCTCGGGTACTGAACCTCGGTTTCTAGCGTTGTAAGCCCAAAGACATACCGCTGTGCCACTGGGGGACAGTTTTGCTCCAAACAAGAAACAAACAAAAATACAGCAGGGAATACTTGTCGAAAAATCTTTGGACCAATGAGAAAGACAACAATTTCAGCTAGACAAATGTTTTGAGATATACAGTATTATTGTGTTGACCTTCATAGGGGTCACCTTCTTAGAGGTCAGACTTGAAAACTTTCCCTCTTATGAACAATCATTCCGAGATTGTGCTTCCTTCGCCGTTTCTAATTTCCCCACCCTACGACCACAATAATAAATTACATGATATTGTGCTGGATTCTGGAGATTAACGTATTGTTCCTTTACATACTGTCTTAATTAACTGTAAATCTACAAAAACATAAGACACTGGTGTCATATGTATCATTTATTAGGAGAAACTGACGTGTATATTTTAACTAGGTTGTATGGGATGAAACTTGAGTTTTAAGCTGCGTAATAAAAATTTTGTATTGACAATATGTACGTTTGTGATATTCACTTATAAACTGGAAATTGTAAGGTTACGTTCGGCACCTCATTTAGGGCACAATACAAATTAAATAAGCAGACAGTTAAATAATCATACCAACGGCCACACGGAGCACATCATTCTGTGGTAGATACAATATTTCATTAGTGCGACTGAGCTTAAAATTTTTCGTGGCTGTTAATTCCTCACGTGGATGATCATGCCAATACATTTGTAGTAAAGATAGTTGCCAAGACTAACGCACGTGATAAACCACAGAATAACTTCAAATCCCTGAGCACATGGTATCACAATATGCTTGGGAATCAATAATATAGTCTTAATACCTTAATATACAGCAAGCTGTAATAACTATTTTCAACATCATTTAATGCATCTAAAATACTTTAATTCCAGCGCTAACACTTTCTAAAAAATTAATAATAATAATGAAATAAATGTTTGGTAACATGCAATATACTGAAGATAACTACTGACTGAAATCATACTGACTATTATGGCCAAGCCTGTAGCTAGGTTTGGAGGTGGTGGGTTTTTTTTTTTGGTCCAAAGTGGAACTCGTTTCATGTGTAACTAGTAACCAGGGGCGAAAAAAAATTACCGAAATATGTAATGGTTCTTTTATTTCACTCCAAACACACATTTTTAGTGAATTTCCTCTGATAATTATAAAAATGCTATTTCCACATGTATGAACAGTGTTACAAAAGCAATTATATAATGAGAGGCCATCCTCAAAGAGAGGAAAAAAAAATAATAGGCGAGCGAAACTAGGAGGGGTGGTGGTGATCCGTTCGCAACATCGAATCCCCCTGGCTAAGGGCTTGATTATGACACCTATAGTATGTTTTGATATTAAGTTGACCAAACAAATTTATAATAATGGCTGGAGACGGCTTGAATGGGTAATGAAGAAAAACTTCATTACCCATTCAAGCCTTCTCCAGCCATTATTGGTCTCAAAGTGGGTTCCTCGTCACCGAATTTGAAACAAGTTTATAGTTAGACGCTGATTGGAAATTGAATATAAGATTAAGTTTTCACATTAAATCTTTGTATCTTGGAGTTCTTTTACATATATTATTTACCCCCCCTTTTTTTTTTACATTTAAAACTGTTTTCATGAGGTTATGTTTTAAAACATTTGAGTTAAAATCCAAAGATACATTTTTGTCATACAAAATAAAACTTACCCTACAAAATTTATCAGAGAAAATAAAAAAATTAACAATCTCGGATAAAAGTGTATATATTTTGCTTAAGATATGTGATACTAACCAGAAGGAAAAGGAACAAAATAGAAAATAAAAAATTTAACAATCTCGGATAAAAATGTATATATTTTGCTTAAGATATGTGATACTAACCAGAAGGAAAAAGGAACAAAATATTTACAAATTTATTTGAACGAAACTATTTTGTTTATATTGCTGATAGCAAATAAATATAAAACGTTAAAGGAAGATTTTCTGACAATTAAACATTTCTAATAACAAATCTCTGTTATGTTTTTATGTCAACTAAATATTTTCTGTTTGATGGTATTTGATTAGAGTTTCTATATACAAGTGGTACTATCTACGGAAAAGAAAAGTTTACTTTCTGAAAAAATTTTTTTGACACAAATTACAATAGGAGTTTCTTAAAACTGGATATTTCAAGAATTTGGTTTACTCAATTGCGAATTCAATACACAATAACAATCAGTTTGTAACGTTGAAAGAAATTAATTTGAAATTCGTTGAACCCTAACTAGAAAGATTAGACAAGAAAACGCATGAAAACAGTCACAAGTTTACACAAAGAAATGAATAAAATATTGTAAAGACTAAAATAATACAATCTTTCTAGATAATATATATATAATAACAGGAGAAAAATATGTATTTTACAATAAGTTATCACTTCCGGATTCTACCCCGCAAGAAATGGTAATTTCGAATAGTTAAGTGTTCTTCTGTAGCAAAAAAGAATAGTGAACTATTCAAAAGCGCTGGATCTTCCGAGTCTTATTAAATCTACTTAACTTTTTTTTTTTGGTGATCCGTTGTGCTAACCCTTTCGTTATGGCCTCCAAGAAACAATACCTGCTCGAAGTACAAAATGATACTTACCGAGTAAGAAGTATGTCAAAACAAGCACAACACAAGCAGGCTTCTGCATTATGTCGCTAACATCCATTCTAGTAGAACGTTAATTAGTCCAAACTTTCGGACTTTTACCAACTTTTAAACAAGTCATTTGCACGAGGAGAAGGCAACCTAGGATAATATGCTTCGTTCGGCTTACAGGGGAGTTCTTCTGTCTGACGGTATTCAATTTTTCTGCTTTATAGTTCTAACCTAAGTCCACAACTGCTACGAGCCTACAGGTCCATCCATTACGTCGCCTAAGAGGCTGAGAACTAAAGGCCGAGAGGCCGACCACCGACACTGCTAAAGTAGGATACAGATTAAAGCGACATCGTACGGAGGAAGAACGAGTCACCTGTGTCATGAGTAGAATTTAAACCTACCACCATACACCAGTAACGGTGCGCAACACCAAATAACGGTGCTTGGCAGAACCGGTCTTGCTTCTCTTTAATTGTTTGTAAAATAGACTGGCGTCATACTCACGTGATCTATATAAGCATATTATTCGTAAACAATTGACACTCGTATGAAGAGCTTGCGCAGTTGATTATACACTCGGATATGTTTTTGCAGGTGAAATTCGACCATTGTCAAGATTAGAATTTTCTTCTTGAAAATTAATTTCAAGATAGAAGAATATATCATAGAATATACTGTAATTCAATGTGCTAACGTAGCAGAATAGAAGTGCCTTATTATAAAGGTAGGATAGAAGTTGATAAAGATAATACTGGAGATGATCATATACAGAGAAAGAAAAGTAAACGAGAATATTACTATGTTGTTATTTACATATCAGGTCCGGCTCGACCGGGGTTGCAGCAAGCACATTAGCACAGGGCGGCAGGTTCTTGGGGGGGGGCGACCAAAATGAATTGGTTCTGGTCACCAGCTGGTCCCTGGCAGAGTCGGCATTCTACAGTAAAGCATACAGCTAAAACAACTGCTGCTATCTACAGGCTAAAGATGATTCACAGAAAAGTCGCTGAGGGGTAGGCGGAACAGTCAGCGTTTGCATAGGGCGATAAAACACGTCGCATGACCCCAGAACGTAAATTATGATTAATATAAAAATCTTATAGAATGTGATTATTATAGTATATTTTAGAATATAAACTGAGTAATCTATACACGTTTTTGAACAAAAAAATGTATAAATATAAGGCAGATGCTTCATACTGGGATTTCTGTAAATTATTTCAGTGGAACTTTACGGTCGGAAACGTTCGATTAAAGATTTAAAAGGCAGCATGAACACTATCTTTAGAAAATAACAGAGCTAGACTTCAATACATGCACAATGACTACCTACTGTTGTATTGTTATTCTTTCTATGCTGGTTCTATTAAATTAGCTGGTGAAAATAAACCAAAGTCTAGTCCACGTAACTATCAAAAATTAGTTTATTTTCTCCTTTAACGTGTCTCTTTAAGCTTTAACACTTGTACACTGTCGTAAATTGTTGTAGGTCTAAGTTATAAGTGAAGTTTCAAACCTTTTTAACAGGAACTATGATTAGCGTAAAACCAACTTGTAAAAAAGTATCCCAATAAACGCCATGACTAACGTAGGTCGAAAATATTTCACACGCTGACTGAAACAACTTTATCTTCTTGAAACAAAACTCTACAAAATATATCCTTGACTATCTCTCAATTCACTCTACTTTTGAAACAACTATTTCGTATTTACAATCTAACTTCTAATGTACTAGAAAACTTTATGTTACATCCTAAGAATTGTTTAGGTGTTCTAGGCCTGTCTTATTAAAAATCTCTTGATATTAGCGTCATCATTAAGACCCACA